AATTGGGCTATGAGCAGCAGTGAGAAGCAGCAGCAGCAGTGTGGCGGCGGTGGTAATCGCAGAAGTTGCGTGGTGGCCCTTCCTGCTGTTACCCTTCACTCAAGAGACCGGCCTGATTTAGGATGAAGCTCCAGAAATTGTGGGGCCAAAACTCCCCCGTGTCTGAGCCCACATCTCGCACAAGACTCGTGGGTTGCTGCAGAAATCTCGAGCGATCAGCACGCAAACCTTGTCTCACAGCTCAGGCCGTTCACTTGCCCGTGTCCCCAGGGTTCTCATGCCCTGAGCTCAGACATGACTGTCTTTGTCGCGGTCTGTGGCGATCAATGCAGAGGTCCGATGTCAGGATGAGTGAAACTGGATGCATGGTGCACTAATTTTGGAGGCACCTTGCTTCTCTTCGAACAAGAGTGTCAGAAAGATGTACAGTTGAAGAAAATGCGGGCCATCTGTTGCAACATCTTAATTTGTGATGACATACTCATTCTCATGAAGTCACCGTTGCCTTGAGCCAACGGGGCTAAGCTTGCGAAAGAAGTGTACCGACATGCACACTTCCCCTTGGAAACCACATCCCTGCCCTTACTCCACATCCCTGCCCTTACTCGAAAACTCGCCTGGCCTAGTTTCGGACAGGCACGAACAACTCAAAAGATGCGTCCTCTGTACGCCTTTGGGGCAAGGACTTGCTGTGGGTCGGCCCATCAGACCCCTTGTCTGAAACTGCCCCCAGACAGCTCGATGCGGGTCTGCCTCGGGGAGCAAAAAAAATCATCGAAATCCGTACAAGTCAGACTCAAGTACTTTCCATGATCGTCGATGGCGTTCGTTACATCTAGGTGGAAGCTGATGCTTTGCAGAAGCATCGAGGCCAACCATGTGCTCTTGCTTGATCAAATAGCTTACACACCTTTGCGATACACTTTCATTTAGTCTGACTGTCCCATGTCCTGTCAGAACGTCTCTGGTGCATGCAGGCTTTGCTCAGGTCTGGAACCATTCACGGAGCAGCCTGAGCAAAAAAGAGGCTTGAAATCTTGCCTTCATTCTGGGACATGTCCAGTGATTACGAGACTGGCAGCGACCAGCAGTTCGGGGCGCACACATACTCGTTGCATGCCGAGGAGTAAATGCAGAGCATGACTGTCCAAGTCCAATCGTTGCAGCCCGGCGGCCACGCAGACGCTTTTGCTTTTCCTTCTGAGTTTGTGTCCGTGGACAGTCCTTGGTTAGGGAACCGGGCTGCAGGCCGGGTGCTTTGGATGGCTCCAGTTTCGACTTGGGGAGGGTCCGTATTTGATCCCTTCTCTACCTAATCACGGACCCAGATCGAACATCGAACGCAGCCGTCCCAAGGCCCTCCGAACGAACTCGTCTTGTGTCTTGCCCTCCTCTGGCTTAGCTACAAGCGTGCCTCCTTGCTACAGTTCAGCACTGCACAGCAAGCCTGCGAGCCACAACCGAAGCTTCAAGCAGTCGCTTTAGGTTTGCTGGTCAGAAACCATTATTGAAGCGCCTTTCAAAAACGCCCAGAAGGCTTAGGAGCTTCAAGGCGCCAAAAGGATACGAGATTCTGAAGCCCATCAGAGTGTCTCACTGACCGCCATCCAAGGTGGCGTCCGCTTCGTCCTCCTGCAATTGTCCAAGGCGTTGGGGGGCTCCATTGCGGCTTGAGGGTTTAGGGTTTAAGCAAAGTTTCACGGTGTGCTCGAAAGTCTCCAAGTGTGGTGAGCCTCGACACACTCCAGACACAAGTCCAAGCAGGACGGTGCTTTCATAGATTCGACAACTACAAGCAAAAGTTTTGGAGGGTCTAGTTCAGGTAACAGAAACCTTTACACAGCTGAGGTTTCGAGGCGGTAGTGCTCTAGCATGGCTGACGGCTAGCCGTCAAACCTCTTGAAGAATGCGGGCCTGTTTGTATGCGAGCACTCGACAGGATGCGCCGGCAGGCACATGACCTTGCAAGCCTCTAACCCCCCATCTTCTCTGCGCGATTCTCGAGGAGAGACAAGCCCAAAAGCGGACAAGCCTGGTAGAAAGATCCGGAAAGGAAACAAAAAGACACGCTGTCCGATGTCAAACAAGAGTCGTGGGAGCCCACCTTCCACCCCGAAACCCAACTTGTAAAGCCCAAGCCGGGTCCTTTGCTCGCTTGAGGGCATCTTGCACATCTGCCACAGAGATCATGGGAGGCACGGTCATGGCATCCCCTCAGGTTGTGAAGGGTCTTCCTAGGACCGCCCAATGTAGACCCCATTTGGGGTCTGAAACGGGGTCTGCCTAGAGTGTTTCGTGTTTCTGCCGACGACCCATTTCAGACCTCTACCGGGCAGCGGTTTGTGCCGCAACATGGGCACTGTCATGCATGGCATACCTTGATATGCTGTATCATGCGTCTGGTCTTGCATGCCCAAACCCGGACATATCCGAGCGTTGACCCCGACCACCTGAAGCTTGCTTCGCGCTTCGACTACAAGCCGGTTCTTGTTCAGGCTCTGTCTCTCTCTCGCTCTCCCTCTCTCTCTTCTCTTTCCTTTGATGTTCTCTCGTCTCTCTTTTCTCCCTTCGCTCTCGTCTCCCGCTCTCCCTGGTTTCGCCCGTCTGACAAACGGACAAACCAAGAAAGACAGAGAGAAGAAAGAAAGAAGGGAAAAACGAGCAAAGCGAGCAGAGGGAAATGAATGGCATTTCCAGAAACGGTCGTTCTATGGCCTCTGCCTCATTGCACACCAGGCTCTTGGAATCCCTAACACAAAGGCCGACCCAGAGCACGGCGGCGACCCATTCCCCCAACCATAAGGAGGGAGCGAATTCGATCTGGCGAGATGCGACGGCTGCAGCTCAGTGAGCCCCAGGGTTTAGGGATCCAGGGTATAGGGTTTGGAGGCGTCTCGGCTCAGGCAAGATTCTGCCCCGTCCCTTTGTGTTCGCCGCGGCATTCGCTTTCCAGACCCTAGCACCTCGTGCGCCGCCATTGACATCTGACTGTCTCTGGTATTACTGCTGCTGTTTGATCAGCCAGTACCCCTTTCGGGGCTTCTCTGAGTCGCTGCCTTTCACTAGGCCGACTCCTTCCCCACACTGGTGGGTCTTCGGCTTTCTACCCGCGGCTTGCCCCCGCATTCTGTTGGCCTTTTATCCGCGGCTGGCCCCCGCTTTTGGGTCGCTGCCTCTCAACAGGCCGACTCCAGCTGGTGTGGGTATTGGCCATTTACTGCGACTGGCCCTCGCACTGACTTGGGTGTGAGCCCGTCTGTCCAGGGGCCTGTTTATGGTCACTCGTCCTACTTACTGGCCCATCGCGGTTCTGGCCTGCCTGGGCATTGGTTTGATCTGGCTAGGCCGAGAGAGTGGTCATTCCGAGGAGCGGGTCGCCCCCTTGGCACCGGCGCTTAAGGCGCCGACGAGCGGCAGCCAGGCGCCGCCTACGATCTGGCAGGTGGAGACAGGACGATCTGAGGTTGCTTCACGGCCACCACGGTTCCATGGCACCGAAGAATCCAGCAAAGGAGAAGCAGGGCAAAGGTGGCGGCAAATCTGGCAAAGCAGAGGGACCGCTGCCGGCCACATCTCAAGTACAGCTCGGGTTCCCCACGGAGGTGATCACGGCCCTGCAATCGATACGGGATCGAGCGACCTCCGATCTACGCCTCGACGACTTTACGGTCGCAGAGGATCGCACGCTGATTCAGGCAGCGAATCAACAAGCATCTGCGATCACCAGGGCGACCAAGCGCTTGGAAGCGAATTCCAAGGCGAAAATAGCTCTAGGCCAAGTCTTGGGACAATGGCTCGACCGGGTTGGCCGCCATCTTGCTGCGTGCCTCGCCAGATCAACAATGTGGGGACACGCATCGATGCGGACATCCAGGACGCCACGGCGGCCTTGGATGCTGCCTCCCAGGGTTTGGCCGCCGATCACAGCTTGGGTTGGAAACGAGGAGCTCCGCATTGCTGCCGAGCTGAGAGCGGCAGCCGCGGTGTCCGCCGGAAGTTCCGCGACCGTGCCGATGCTGGGTGGACAGTTCGGCTTGCCAGATGGTACAGGAGCAGGCCCCATCGACCCCAACGCCGCGGCGGACATGGCTTTTGGGGGAACAGGGAGCCTCATGGAGGATGTCCTTGTCGATCCACTATCCAGGCCGCCTGCTTCGCCTGGCCCTGGTCCTGGTCCTCCTGCAACAGCCTCGCTGGGTCGAGGTGGGCGCAGAAGAGGGCAACAGATCCTGCAGCCTCCCCCCACAAAAAGCGAGCCTCCTACAGTGGACAGCGCCGGGGTAGTCGACGAGCTCGCGGTTCCATGGCACAGGACTGTCACGGGCAGGTCCCCCTTGGGCCACAAACCGGTGCCTTTCTCCCAGCTGGGAGAGGTCACCACCCAGCTGGATACTGGAAGCGGCTTGCCAACACAAGGAGCTCCGGACACCGCGGAGCCGCCCGCAGCTGCACCCATGCCTGCAGAAGTGAAGGACTCCGACCAAGGCGAAGCAGACTGGATGGCGGCCCAACAAGCATGGCTCCTGTCCTGGATCGCGGTGGCGCAACGCCTTGTGGTACAAGGCCGAGATTTGGTTGTTCGGGATGTGCCGCGCTTCCCGGACATGCGGCGACCGAAGAGGAGATCCAGAGTTTCCATGGCATTGCGGAGTCTGTTTGGGAAACTCTGGTCGAGCATGCGCAGAGCCCCGATTGAGTGACAGGGCCCCACGTTCTGCATATGGTCCAGGATGTGCAGCGCCTAGGAGGCATGGTACACTCCCAGCCCATCCTGGCTACCTCTTGCAGGCAAGGTGTCATTGCTCTGGCCCACCTCCTCAATTCGAGGATTCTTGGCCTGGACGGCTTTGCGCCGCAAATGCTGCAAGAGTGGGCAAACCCACACGAGGTCCTAGGCCGAGGTCTGACGCTTCACGGACATCTGGCTACGGTCAAGACAGAAGACGAAGCCGAGGCTACTATCCTCGACCAGGACTGCCCCTTCTTCTGAGCCGTAAGGCATGGTCGGCTCGCGCAAGGGAAGTGATTGTGACGCTGGACAAGAAGGTTGTACAGACCTTTTGGGTGTTATGTACAGCTGTAGCCGTCGCCGTGCTGCTCTATCGAGCGGTCGGCTTCTGCGTGGAAGCTGGTGCCCCTTGGCTTGCTGCACAGATTCGGCTGCCGTGGAAAACTTGGATGCAAGCCGCACAGATGTGATTCTCAAGCAACACAAGCACCTCGAAGTCGGAGGAAGTTATGTCCACAAGAACCACGGCTCCCAAATCTTCACCATGCTAGGCTCCCAAATCTTCACCATGCTAGGTGTGCAGAATGACCAAGTCCAGTTTCAGCATGTTCCCTTGGTGGGGGCCCCCGTGATCGTGGAGGTGCCTGCCTCTGCTGAGTTGGCGAATTGGAAGAGGACGAAGAAAGTCCAAGCGACAGTGCTCGATGCTGAGATAGCCAAGCAGTACTTTGTGTCGGCTAGCACAATTCAAGCTGAGGCATTTGAGCTGGGGCAGGCTCAGCTAGAGTTGTATCGAGAGTTTAGCGGCAAGCACGATGGCAAAGTCGGGATCAGCTTTGTCACCCCCCCTCCGGGCTTGGTGGTCACGGCCCCCATCCCCAAGAAGTCCCTTGTCCTTGTTGCTTTTGGGCAGCTGAGCAGTGAAGGACGGATGTTGGGTTGGCAAGTACTTGCTGCAGCCCTCCAGACCAGTGTCGGACTTCGAGAAATTGGACGAGAAGACATTGCTCGTGCCATATTGGTATGTGCGGACCACGAACGAGATTGCTCAGGTCAATATGACCAAAGTTCAGCAGCAGCTCGGTACCTTGACGGTGCCGAGCTTCCTGAATAAACGGGATCTCGCAGTAGGGGAGCTGTTGTACACCGCTAGTGACTCATTGATCCAGAAGGAGCAAGCACCGGCTCCTGTATCCAGTAGTCCTGTAAAGCGGCTGCGAACGAAGGGTTCAGCCAACATCTAGGCTCCAAGCAGAGTTGCCACCCGATCTCAAGGGAAGGATTTTTGAGCAGCCATCCGATTTTGCAAGGAGGTAGAAACACACTCGAGATGTCACGACGACCGCTCTCTCGCACAGCCAGGGTTTAAAAACAGCTTGCATGCAGTCAGAACACAGCTGGAGATGTTTTGAATGATTCCGCCTCTTCATGAGCTTGAAGCTTTGTGTGATGCATCATGTGCATGCTCAAGGTGTTAAGTTGTGGCATCCTTGTTGCTTGTACTCGCCGGTAGCCACCGTGATGGAATCCATGGACGTTGAAGTGGCATCTGTTTTGCAGATCAAAACAAAGGACCATCTGCAGGGCCTGGTGGTACCTTCAGATTTGCTGATTGAGCATGAAGAGAAGAAGTATTTGAAGTTGAATGGTAGTCATTGGTGGTTGTGCAAGCTGCTTTGCCCAGAAGTTTACAAAACACAGAAGAATGTCAGCCTCGCCAACACAAGTGCCATGAAAGAGGTGTGTCAGGCTGTTCTTGCAGGCTTCCTGAAAAAGGAAGAGGGGGATGAAGGTGAAGAACTTTTCGACAAGAAGCCGGACGACAAGAAAAGCCTGAAAAGGAAACGTGATAGCTCGGGCCCCCGAGTTAAGAGCATCACGTTGCCGAACGAGGTGGTTGCAGAGTTTTACCTCGAGAACCACCAGAGTTCGTGCCCGGCAGTGTTGGCGGAGCCGGAGTCTCTCGAAGCAGTGCTCGGCTACTTGAAGGCTGGCTGTGAGGATTGTGCCAATGCCGCGACCAGAGCCTACCAGAAAACCGGCAAGTACCGCAAGAAGTGAAGACGTAGGTCGCGAGCTGGCGAAAGGCCACAAAACATGCATCGGCGCTTTTGGCAGACTCCTTGTCGTTGTTGCATGCATGTGTCTGGTTGCATGACAGGAATGCCCAGTTGTTTACTGCTACTAAATAAATGTTTTCGCTTTGAGTTCTGGAATTGCATGGTTGTGCTTGCATGTTTGCTCCAAGCTTGCTGGTTGCAGCTGCATGATTGCATGTTCGGTGGCATGCCCTGGCCATGCATGCATGTTTGCTTGAAGATCGCTGCTTGCAGTTGCATGTTTGCATGTTCGGTGGCATGCTTTGACCGTGCATGGATGTTTGCTGCAAGCTTGCTGCTTTGGTTCAGGGTCTAGGGTCTAGGGTTCAGGGTTTGTAGGGTCTAGGGTCTAGGTTCGAGGGTTAATAAGGGTTGAGGGTTGGAGCATGCCGGTTGCAGTTGCACGACTGCATGTTCGGCGGCGGCATGCTTTGTTGCAGATGGCTTGAAACATGCATGCTGGCAACAACCTGCATGATTGCTTGCAGGCTTGCATGAACCTGCAAGGAGCATGCCTGTGATGCTTCTGATTGAAATTGCTTCTTGCATGCAGCCATGCATGCTTGGTGGCATGTTTGCTTGGCATGCTTGCGAACCTGCATGGCATGTCTGTGTAGACCGCATGACAGACATGCAAGCATGACCTGTGTGCAACTTGCAAATCTGAGGAATCAGTGCCGCATCTTGCATGGACCCTGGCGACACACAGGCCAGTATGTCAATGCCTTTCCAGTGCTGAAGAAGGAATGGCACCCGGACGAGACCAACCCGGTCGACATGTACATGTTCTTTATCAGCAACGGCTTCTGGGTGACAGCCAACCAGGTGGTGGAAAACGACAGACAACCCGGAGCCTGGCAAGATGTGGAGGTGCTGGCCAGTTTGGTGGACAAGGATGGGTTGCCACAAGGCACCTGCTACTGTCCTTGGCAGGGAGAGACCCTGACCTTGTGGAGCCAGGGCCTGTGCCAGCTATCCGTGGAAGTTTTCCAGGTTTTCGGGCAGTCGGCATGGGCCAACGAGAGCTCTTACCTGGGGCAGATTGCCCGCCTCGAGAAGAAGAATGTGCAGCAGGAGCTGCAGATCCATGACCTGCTTCTGCAGGCACGTGGACGAGTTGCAAGTGCTGCATGCCCTTGCATGTTCTCTTGCATGCATGCATGCATGTATGCGGTTGCTGTGTTGGAGGTGGCAGACCTCCAGCGAGCTGCACAGGACCGGCAGTTGCAAGCGGCATGCATGGTTGGTTCATGTTGACAAGCCTGGCTGCATGGAGTTGCGTCAGCATGTTTGTGCTTGTTTGTTTGACAGGATGGCCGCGCAGGTCCGAGCGGGGCGACACCTGAAGCAGGGTCAGTGCCTGCAGCGGCAGACCCCTTTCGGGCGTTGGGCGTTAATCGCCCTCCTGAGATCGGGCCACAGCCCACTTTTGAGTCGCTGGGCATCAATCGCCCTCCGGCTCCGAGGCCTTAGAGAAGAGAGCATCCTCGGGAAGATGGCCGGAAAAGACGAAAGTTTTTATGTTGGGCGACAGAAGAGTAGCCTTTCTCGTGACTCAGTGGGTCTTCGCTTGCATCCAGCTTGACATGTGACAGCATCCACGGGCAGCTTGAAAGGCTCGTGCAGCAAGACGGTGCATGCCGGTATGCAAGAGCACATGCATGATGCAAGCAAGCAAAGCGGGCACAGGAGGCAAGCAGCACGGACATGCATGGCAAGGCAGCAACATGCATTACATGGTTGCTCATGAGCTACTGTAGAAGCTTTTCAGCTTTGCCCTCGCTCGCCATGGTATTTGGCACCACTCTGGGGCCTGGCACCACTGCAGTGCCAGTAATGGTTACTGGCACTGCTGGAACAGAAGGCGGGCCTCCTGTTCAAGTTGTTCCAGCAGAGACATAGAAGGACATGTGTGTGTGTGTGCAACTAAACAGACATGCATGTATGACAGGACTTCCGGATGTCTCCATGGACGAGTGGACTCGACTTCGAGAGGCCGTCAAAGCAGTCCATGTCAACCCGAAACCCATAATCCTATAACTCGTGGAGGCTGTATTCTTCGACTACTTCCCGGGTGGCATCAAAGACACGTGCGACTGCCTGTTTTTCTGGGGCCCCATGGACCAGAGTCGGGCGACTCTCAGCTGCATTTGTGTCCGTTATAGGGAAGGCTTGAAACTACCTTGGGAGGATCACCCTCGGAGAACTCCTGGTTGCCAGGAGTTTTCCGTGATTGGGTTGCATGTTGATTGCTTGCATGAACTGACTTCACTTGGCTTGCATGTGCCCACATACACCAGTTGCTTGGAGCATGCATGACATGGTTGCGTGTTGCTCTGGAGCATGACTCTGCCAGATTTGGCTTGCACCATGGAGTTTCATTGCTTGTTTATACAATCAAGCAAAGGCAGCAAAAAATTGTCTCTGAGGCCCCGGGGTGTAGAATATTCGGTGGATTGATGAATGGTGAGGCTCGACTGGAACTAGCTGTGTAATTTGTTTGCTCTGTTTGCATGGTGCAGCTTTTATTGCTTGCATGACACGACCACGAATGGCTTGCACGTGCAAGCAACATGTGTTGTCTGTTCCATGCACGACACGACCACGACTGGCTTGCATGTGCAGTCCATGTCTTGCTTTGTGTTTGCATGGCATGCTTCCGTGGTTTTGTTTTGCTTGCTTGGCATGACCAGCCTTGGCTTGCATATGCCTTGCAGCCTGTCTTGCTTGGAGCTTGCATGGCATGCTTGCTTGGGACTGTCCTCCTTGCAGCAGACGAGCAGGATTTGCTTGCATCTGCTTGGCATGTCCTGCTTGGAGCTTTCATGGCATGCTTGTTTGGTGTTGTCTTGCTTGCATGACATGAACAGCATGGCCCTGTATGTTTGTTGCATGTTTTCTCTGGGACCTTGCATGGCATGTTGGTTTGGCGCTGTTTTGCTTCCTTGACAACATCATCTTTGCATCGTCTGCACGTGCCTTGCTTGTGCTTGACACTTGAATGGCATGCAAGTTTCGTCTGATTTGCAGGGCACGACATGAGCAGGATTGGCTTGCAGGTGCCTTGCAGGCCTTCTTTGCAGCTTGCACGGCATGCTTGTTCGTGAGGCATACCTGCTTGCATGGGATGGCCGGAAGTGGCTTGCACATTCCTTGCATGTCTCGTCTCTTGCTGGCATGACACGACTATAGGAGTGGCTTGCATGAGCCTGGCATGTGTTGCTTGCAGCCTGCATGGCATGCCTAGGTATTGTAATCCTGCCTGGCATGTGCTGTATTGGCTTGCATGTGATATGCAGGGTCTGCCTTGAGCATGTTGAGGTTGCATGGGAGGCGCATGTGCCCAGGCCTGGGCACAGTGATTGTCTCATGCAGCAGCAGCCATGCCTCCAATTCGTTTGTGTGTCGACCGGCCAGAGAATTCAGTATACTGAATTCTCTAAGGGCCGGCCGGCCGGACAATTCAGTACACTGAATTCTCCTAGGCCGGAGAATTCAGTGTACTGAATTCTCTGGCCGGCCGGCCCTCAGAGAATTTAGTGTACTGAATTCTCTCCCCGGGCGGCCCTCAGAGAATTCAGTATACTGAATTCTCTCGTTTGTGTGCTGACTTCAAGAATCGCTGTTGCATCTCCTGCACATGTTGTTGGTTTTGGCTCCTGGACATGATCCAAGCAGGACAAACAAGAGCAGAAGCAGTCCAAAGAGTGCAATACCTGCAGCACCACAAGCACACTCAACAGAGTCGGGCTTCGAAACAACCAGAAATAAAAACAGCTTAGAATTCTTGTTCCTGCCATCAATTCGGCAATATGGCTGCAAGTGCCGATGATGACACTGGCGGCTCCACCGGGATTCCAAACTTTCTGGATGCTGCTCTTCGCGAGTTGTGCTTCTTTTACTTGCAGGCACACCTGGAAGCCTCCTTTGGAGACCGCCGGACCTCAAATGCAAAACTGACAAAACTGACACGAGCCAGGCGACAATGGGAACGTGCTGAGATGGAACGGCTCAAGGAGTATGTGAGACCACAGCTTGGCGACAACTGTGAGCAGTTTCTTCTAGACTTCCAATGTTTGGAGAGACTGAATAGAAACATCCCGGAGAATGACAGAAGCTGGCTGGCCCAAAAAGCCAGCCAAACAATTGGTCGAAAACGACACGAAATCCTGGACTGCCTTGGAGACCTGCTCCAGAAGACTTTCGGGAGATGCATGAGCGACGTGAGTTTCGAATACATGGCACGAAGGATGGTGGCTATGGTAGCACATCTGCCTGTCAGCTCTTTCATGGAGGCATTGTATCCTTTCCTTGACGACACAAGCCGCTTCGTTTTCCAAGGGTGGCTCGAAGGTTTTCCATGCACCAACATTGAGGGGGAAGAACAGGCATCTGGCTCCGGAGGACCATGAAGCTTCAAGGGACCCGGCTGTGAGGAATGGTGGCAAAAAGTGTGCTTGCATCAAGACAGAACATGCAGCATTTGTTTCGCTGTTGTAGGCCATAGGTGGCTGTGTGCCAACCGACCAAAGACATGTCGTGCCCGAGCCAGCTTGCTTCTAGCCCGAGGATACACGCCAAGCCTCCGGAGCCTTTCGGCTCGCTGCAATTTTGGCGCCTCTCTCTGTACAGCTCGAGCATGGCACGAGAGGAGACCTGCCGCTTTTTATGTGTGGAGTGGAGTTGAAGCATAGACTGCCGGGACTTGGCCAGGACCGTTCACGATCCCGCAGCCCATTGCGATACAAGTGGAAATGGTGCTGGAAGACGGGTTGGTTCGGCGGAGTTCAGCAGCACGGCAGCAACTGCAGGCTGCTGCCGGTTGCATGAAGCATGCTTGTGTTGCTGCATGAGGATCTGGTGGTGGGTTTATTGGAAGGAGCGAGCAGATGCAGACTGAGCTCTTGAAGAGAGTTTGCGAAGCAATTAAATTTTCTGGTCGGAAAACCAGACCCAGCACTA